TATTTCATTCCTGCGTTTGTCATTCATTGAGACCGATTTCATCCCGGAATCCACAACAATATATATATATATATATATATATATATATATATATATATATATATATATATATATATACAGTCCCCTCCAAAAGTATTGCAACGGCAAAGCCAATTTCTTTGTTTTTGTTGTTTACTGAAGACATTTGGGTTTAAGATCAAAAGATGAATGTGAGACAAGAGTTCAGAATCTCAGCTTTTATTTCTTGGTATTTACATTTACACGTATTAAAAAACTTAAGACATAGCCCCTTTTATTAAACCCACCCATTTTCAAGTGAATAAAACTATTGGAATACATGACTAACAGGTGTTTCTTGTTGCCCAGGTATTGCCTTTTACATTGATTGTTTAAGCATTAAATTGCTTTAAATCACTACTCTTGGGTTTCAAAATGAAGACGATATTTCACAAAAGTGGTCAACCCTGTTTTCTGAAGAAACAAAATCTTATATATATATATATATATATATATATATATATATATATATATATATATATATATATATATTGAGATTATATATAGATCAAATTTGGATTAGAAAATGACAAAATGTTGGGATAAGGAACAAGTAGGAAATATTTTTAAATTTAACATGTTTCGTTTTTTTTTATTTTTGGGTTGTTTTTCATTGGTTAGGTAGACCTCACGTGAACTTGTCGAGTCGAGCAGCGTTCGTCTGTACAATTCTTGTGTGTTTGTGTATCACAATTCTATTTGATCTATACAAGATTTAGTTGATAATGCGTGTGTGTGTGCACGCGTGCGTTTGTGCGTCTTGTAGGCATTTTTATTTAAGTCTGCTAGTGTCCGTATGTTGATTACAGGAAATTTTTTTTTTGTGTGTGAGTGAAAGAAAAATTTAGTTAACACCGATTAATGTTCTAGGTAGATATTCATTAAGTATGTATTTTATAAATGTAGGTAATATAACGTTACATTTATAGAAGTTTCCGATTTGTTCCTTAATTGTAGTACAATCAGATGTATTCATATACCAACAACCCTTTCAGAAAAAATCTTTATGTATACAATTACAAATTTAACGGCGAAACAAAAGTGCCGAAAGACTTTTCGTCGTTGATAAACACCAGACGACATGCGATGAACGGATGTCATCATTCGTTGAACAGGCACTCCTACCCTACCTTAACTTAACCTTTTTTTCGAAAGTAACTCATATTTTGATACAACAGTTGTCAGTGAAAGCGAATAGCCTACCACCCCTTGTCAAAATGATTGAATTTCCCCGTATCCTAATATTATGAATGCATGTGCTCATAAAACTCAGTAAATTTCAAAATAAGTTATTCCAAAATTCGCTTGAAAAAGAAACAGGATTAGGGACTTTAACTTAATTCTATTATTGAATTTGAAGTTTTTAATTTCTGCTTTTGAAACATGGTAATTCCTATGTAGCAATGGAACTATATTTTTAAATTAGTAAATATATATATATATATATATATATATATATATATATATATATATATAAGGTTTCTGCTCGATGGTTGCCATGTCTTCTTACACTTGATCAAAACCGCAACAGGCTGATCCCGTCATGGGAAAATATGACATTGTTTGAGGTAGGCCCAGCTGGTTATTTGAATGTTTCCTAAACCAGGATGAGAGTGGGGTTCATCACTTTCAGCCAGAGACAATATATGCAGTGGAACCACACCTCTTCACCTGCTCCAAAGACGTCTAATGTTGTTTCATCTACAGGAAAGTTGATAGCCTCAGTTTTCGGGATGCAAAAGGCATTCTGTTTATTGACTATCTTCAAAAGGGTCACACCATCTATGGCGATTACTAAGCCAACTTGATGAGGCAGTTACGAAAGGCTATCAAGACCAGGAAAATTGACGGGAGAGGACTTGTTTCATCGTGACAATGCCCTAGTATACACACACAAGTCCTTGGATCCAATGATGCTGTGCGTGACTGTGGATTTGAACTAGTTGATCACCCTCCCTATTCTCCTGATTTGATCCTACATGACCATCACTTGTTCCGCAACATGAAAAAACGCTTGGCCCGGACAGTGTATCGCATTGATGATGACGTCATATCCGGTGTTTATATCTTTTTTTACCAACAGTATGAAAGCTTCTTCACCAGTGGTATCCAAGCACAGAAAAACCGATGGAAGAAGTGAGTGAACTGCAAAGGGGGGGGGACTTTGAAAGATTGAAAAATAAATCTCATTTCGTCACATTCCATGACAGGATCTTGGTCAGCCGATGAACTCCAGCTGACTCTGATATATATATATATATATATATATATATATATATATATAAAAGAACAATCAAATGAATAATCCACAGTTCTTAGCATCTATTTTTTAGAAAGTTCTCTATACAAGTAGAACATAATATTATGATATTATTATTTAAAAATATGTTTTCATCCCGACACAGAAATTACTATGTTTCGGAACTAAAACTTTCATAATTATATATCTATTAGTTGATTACAATTATAAAAAAAATGTGTACTTAATTCCTAAATTTTTAATTTTAATTTTAACAATGCCATATCTAATGTACCATTAAATATAATAAATACACCATTTTAGGTCTTTATATTTAAATACATAAATATATAAAATAGGATTTAATCATATTTGAAGCCCCTGTAAGACAGCCCAAACCTATTTGAAGAACTAAATAAATAAAAATGCCAAAATTAACCCGTGGTTCGATACAAATAACTACTTCTATTTTAATGTATCTTATATATGTTCCAAAAAAGGTAGACAGGATATATGTCTCATCCACGAAATCCCGTATCGGCAAGTTGAAATTACATACCCAACCCAATCCTTTAACCTACATTTTTCACTTTTCCATCTCAGATTAGACCTGTTTCATCAAAATATACAACACCAATTTAAGATTTTGAAATCTCATTCCTCCCTCTTGAATATAATACTACTTTGCTAAAAAAAGTAAATCATTTTTTTCTGAAGTTATTCAACATCGCTTGAAAATGGAACAAAAATTTTAATCTTAATTTTTAGTTCCGAAACAGTAATTTCTGTGTCGCGATGAAAACATATTTTTAAATAATATTATAATATATATTTAAATAGTATTAATTACATTTACCTGCCTGAATGTTCGGTAAATGTAATTAATAGTGTTTAATTAAAAACGCAGCATTTACTTGAATTGTATGTATAAAAAAATAACGTATAAACAGAAAATATATTAAATAATTATCGGACTAGATCCATTTTATAATATATATATATATATATATATATATAAAATGTAAATTATTTTTCAGATAGAGTGTATCTGTCAAAGAACAAACTGAATAAAAAAAAACAAGAGGAGAAACTATTGATATTAGTTGGTTATGAATAGTTTTTGTCTTTTGTCTTTTTATTCATAACTAAAGAAAAGACTAGAAGGTTCCAAAGTTAAAAATGTCATGTCTAGAAAAATAACCGGAAATCAAATAGCAACAAATGAATTGAAAGAAAAAGCTATGAGGATAAGGTGAAAAAAGGACAAATAGTCCCGACACCCTACGCACCCATATCCGCACGTACACACGCACACGTACACACGCACACGCACACACTCTACGAAAAACTTGCTCCAATGATGAGTGAATATAAAAAGAATAACTTGGACCGAGATATGAGTTAATATATCTGCCAATTTATCAATAAAAAAGAACTGACAAATAAGAATTAATTGCTGATCTGTGACAAGAACTTATTCATTTCACAGAAATTTAGAAACAGATTCAAACCAAGGCGAAAATGAAAATGTTGACAAAAGGTTCACTACAAATTAAACGGAACCATATGTTGAGATGCAATGTAATGTGTTGTGACTAGTTTGAAATGTAATTTTGTTGAGTGTGGGTTGCTTTGTTTTAATGTAGATGGCCTTCAGTATCTGAAAGTTCTTTTTACTGTGTTTTTTTGTGAGTAGTATTGTTATCAACTAATATCGGACCTATCTCAATTACAATGACACGTCCGCATTCATGCAGCTAAAGTTTTGATCTCATGAAAATACGGATGAAAATACTGCGAGAAATACGAAAGACACATGAAATGGACTAAAGAAATTGCCAACAATACGAAAGGCTAAGGAAAAAAAGATAAATTCAATTGTACAGAAGACTTTGACGAAAGGGAAGCGAGAACTTGCAACCAATATGTAAATCACGTTTTTAAATGACATGGTCTCATGTTATACTTTATTTTTATCGAAGCCAGTATAATATATTATCCTCTCAGGTGAGTGTGATATCCTCTCAGAAATCGAGTTATCATGGGTAAGAGGATATTTTAATTAAATAACATTTGACAGCTATTTTTATGCTGCCTGCTTTCAAATGATTTTGTTTGAATCTCGACACTCGTTCTTTTCATTGGGACAGGCTTGTTGGCGACCAATGATCATGAATCATATCTATCAATCTTCTACGTGTTAAAACAAGCATTGCAAAAATAAGTTTTCCTCTTATCATTTCTTTTATAAAGGGTGTTCCAATAACTTGGACCGATTTTAAATGTGAATTAAGTTTAAGTGTCTAATGATTTTTTTTCTTTTTCTTTCAGATTTGGCGGGCATTTGGGCGATATTATTTTTCACACATAATTGCCCTGACTTAAATAATATGATCCAATAAAGAAATAAATAAATTTTCACCAATAACACTGATTTATTTACTGCTGACTTTGATCCGTCTTAATGAAACACCCTTATATATAATCCGTCTTAATGAAACACCATTTACACGCAAACAGACACACTTCGTGTCTGTCCACTTTTCAGGAGGTATCAGCAATAGAATGCTTATTTTTTCATTTTCGTTATTTTTATATTAAGTTAAAAGAATTTATGCACTTTATATTGGTGTTTGTGTATATATGTGTATGTGTGCGTGTATATGTGTGTATGTGAGTTGGTATGTGTGTATGTCTATAGAATTACGGCAATATCATATTGAAACAACGCTTCTCGTACGATCAGCGAAGTTAAGCAACGTCGAGCTTGGTCAGTACCTAGATGGGTGTCCGCTTGGGAATACCATGCACTGTAAGCTTGGATGTGCGGGTGGTGTAATGGATAACGGAAGCGTTGCAGAAAATCCCGAAGTCGTCTGGAGGGCGTGGTTGAAGCTAATGGTGATTTTATCGAATAAATTTACTCTTTAGTATTTCAATATATTTTTGTGTAATTTTCTGCATTGTATTCAGATTGATACCCAAACACCTTGAAATGTTCGTATTGAAGCTTCCGGTGTGAATATCAAACATTTAAAGAATGCCGTTTTTAAATTTCTAGTGGAGTCAGTTGCGTCATGGTGCTATTTTTGTCACAGACGGTGCCCAACTGACCCTATTATAATGTACAGTCGATAAAATCAAGACCAAACAACGCGCATGTGCGAAATTAAAAGTATAAAATGTCGACAATTTACCCATCGCACCGTGTATGTCTAAGCGCTAATTGAGAGAAAATATGTGGTTACTTTCTAGGAAGTAACTTTTCATCGTCGGATCATCAGACCACAGATGCTAGCATGTGAGAAATGGTGTACACAATAACCGAAACGTGATTTACTAAGCATAGCTTAGACGTGACACAAGGCCACAAGTATGTAGCACCCAATTAGAATCTAAATCTTTTAGTTGAAATTGATCTAGCGACACGGACTTGGTAGCCATTGGGCAACGTCGAACTGCCTCCAAATCTAACCGTAGCTTAGATATGGCACAAGGTCACAAGGGTTGGGTAACCTGTGAAGATCAGACTCACAATTCAGTCGTAATTGACAAACTTGTTAACTAGTATACCACATGAATATGCCCAAACAAAATAGCTAATTAGCCAAAGAGGATAGACGCATTTAGGATTGTAAATACGGCAAATAGACGAAGCTGAACGAGTACAGACCAAAACAGGATGTGGAAGGGTGCAGTTTTATTACACTTAATCTGGTGCCAAATGCGTCAGCAAATATTTATTCGAGTGGCGACAATTAGCTAATACCTCCGATCTGGCATTCAAAGACATTCTCAGTTTGGAGCATGCTGCTATAGCCGGTTTGTCCTCTATTCTTCTTTTTATGTGCCTGGGTGTAAGCGATTATGGCTCTCCACAATTTCCTGTCCTTTGTAGCTCTTAATATATTTTATCTTTTTGTTATTTCTCCTAAATCCTCTCCTGGCATGCATGCGTCGTTTTCCTCTGTCCCTCTTGCCTTCAATCTGTCCTGTGAGTATCAAATATTCCACCCACCCACTTTGAAAGCTAACAGGACTTGTTTCCGTGTATATAACTAGATGCCTTTTTTCATTATTTTACACTTAATTGAGAGGCATTCCCATATTTTTCCTTAACCTCCCAAAAGCAGTTGGATGAGGTTTTATATTGTATTTTTCTGAAAAGAACCTAGACTTCCCTGCTGTTAAGCTCACAACTGAAAGTGAATGCAGCGAACTCGGCTGAAATTCGAAATTTGCTCGTCGGTTTCTCATTTTGAGAAACATTACCCGCCCCCATATATATATATATATATATATATATATATATATATATATAAAGACATTTTTATGTTTATACATTCTTTTTATAGATACAAATATTTAAGTAAATGCTCTGTTTATAATAAACAGTATTAAACACCATTTATCGGCCTGAATGTCCGAGAAATTTCACAGAAAATATTCGTCCTCCGAATTTTCTGTGAAAATTTCTCGGACATTATATTCTCGGACATCATTATAGCTCTGTTACATAACATTGTGCACTGTATTTATAACACCTGAGGAAGAAATATATCTACACGTAGGGCAAGTATATGTGCGTATATGTATATTTTTTATCATATATATATATATATATATATATATATATATATATATATATATATATATGTGTGTGTGTGTGTGTGTGTGTGTGTGTGTGTGTGTGTTGTTTAAAAAGCTAGGGTTATTTGAGTGTTTTAAAATAGCCAATTTTTAAAAAAGCATAAATTACACCTATCGACTTTTCCATTGTAAGATTTGCCTTTAACTATAATATCCCACGTAATAATGGGTGTATTACCGCCATTCTTTATTTGCCAAGGACAGAGGAGAATAACTATCAGTCTATACTCAGTACCTGAAGATTGCATTGTACATGAAACTTTGAGTCGAATTACCGATGAAGGATCATATATATATATATATATATATATATATATATATATATATATATATATATATTATATATAAAATATATGCCTATATTCCTGAGGTGAGGTATTTACATTATTCGGACTATTGTCCTTATCTTTTTTACCACATTTATCACAGCGTTTCGGTCGTTGTACACTCTGGCCTTCTTCAGGTGGTTGGAACTGGACCCTTTATTTCGCTCGCTGGGGTAGACTGTTCTAGTTCCACGTGCCATGTCTAATGGATGTCAGTTATCAGTTATCTCCTGTTAATTTTCCCTCTGAAAGTTCTCCACTGCCTTAACCAGGTATTGAGCTCACAACATTTTGGGTACTGTCACTGGATCTAACCAACGCGTTTAACCACTGTGCCATGTGTCCAGCGAGCCAAATAAAGGGTTCAGTTCGACACTCCAACCACCTGAAGAAGGCCGGAGCGTACAACGGCCGAAACGCTGTGACAAAGATGAGAACAATAGTCCGAATAATGTAAATAGTGTATAAAAATATAGTTTTAAGATATGATATTATTTAGGGTAAAAGTGTTCAATATCAGTGATAGAGTGTGTGTAAATATAAATCTAAAAGTGGATATGGAGGCCAACACGGAGTGGTAGCAGACTGCTTCATTCTTGAACGCAATCAGGTCTGAAGTTTGCGTTCAAGCATGAAACAAACTGATCATTGATTGGCGGACCCTTTCAAATACTCCCTCACGGTGTCAAATGATTTCACAGTCCCCCATAACATTTTGATAAAGCATCTTTGCATCATTAATATCTGCTGCATAAACCAATTGTTTTAGGTGGCCCCACAGATAAACATCCAAAGCGTTGAGGTCGGAGAAAGGTGCAGACCATGGAACCCGTCCTAACCTACTTATCCATCTTTTATGGTAGATATCAGCAAATGCATCGCGAACAATGTTACTAAAATGTGCTGAAGCCCCATCATGCATGAACCACATGCGTTTTCGTATTAGCAGGGATACATCCTCAAGCAGGTCTGGAAGTGTGTTCGAAATAAAGTCACTGTAAGCTCCTGTAAGACGTGCTGAGGGAACATATGAACCTACCAGACAGTCACCTACAATTCTAGCCTACGCATTAATCGTAAAATGATGCTGGTATCTAGGTTGTATTGTATCATGAGGATTCCGACCCGTCCACAAATGTTGGTTGTGTAAATTTGTTATTCTATCTCTTCTAAATGTTGCTTCATGCGTAACCTATACTGAAGAGACAAACAACGGATCGTCAGTTTGTACAATAAACCGCCGGCAAAAAGTTTTCCCATGGTGAGTGATCAAAGGGCAAAAGACCCTGCACACGTTGCAAATGATACGGATATAGGAAATGCACTTAAAGTACCCTCCATGCGGTAGTATCAGCTGTACATGTTAGGTCACCTGAATTATGTTGATATCTTGATTGTCTCCGACAGTCTGTAGAATGTATTCTTTGTGGTCAGGAGTACGAGAGGATCTCGGTCTTCCTCGATCCATAGCTTGTGATCTCACAGATCCTGTCTTTGCAACGCGACGATAAAAGTTGGATGACTAATCTGGCTTCGGTCTGAAAACAAAATCTGATACAGCCGTGCAGCCTCACGTCCATTACCATTCGCGCGTCTGTAGGTAAAAATCATATCTGCCTGGTCACGATATGAATATACTGCCATTGTTGAACGGAACACTTCTCGATTAGCTCACTACTACACGCAATAAACGTTGAAGACAGACGAGCCAGAAATGTACACGAATGCCAAATATAACCTAGATTACATCCCAGCACAGATCTATTGACCGCAAAATTTGTGTAAACTTAATAACTCAAAAACGAAGGATTTGTAGACATATATGTTACGATTTTTGGGGGTCTATACCGTATATGACTAGTGAGCGAGTCAAAATGACTTATTTCCCTTTATAGTCGACCAATAGAAGGTTGACTAATCAGAAGCCGCCCAACACTGTATCCGTCGTGTATAAAGGCGGCCATCTTTGTTTTACCAGAGGCAACTTGTCCGGCGAACAGGACAGACGGAAGAACTACGCTCTGCTAGCTTGCTACGATATCCACTGCGAACCTGCACTACGATTTCCTACTGTCTCCGAAATATTCACTGCCAACCTCTGGATTCTATACTCGAAGACGACCGTCATGAAAATGTCTAACAGAGGTTATGAATATATATATATATAATTATTTATTTAAAAATATGATTCCATCGCTATATAAGAGTTCTCATGTTTCAAAACAAGAGCCGAAAACTTCAATATAATTATTTAAATTAAATTGAACTAAAGTACGAAGCTCTGTTATATTTAGGCTCTACTTTTGTATCGAGCACTGTTTTTTTTTTAAATAATAACAAAAATACTAAAGAACTTTTGATCATTTACCTAACGAGTTCTTTCCTATTTTCTATATATTTTCACACACACACACGCACACAGACACACACACACGCACACACACACACACACACACACACACACACACACATATATATATATATATATATATATATAGGGGGAATATATCTTTAGTATTTTTGTTATTATTTTCTCTCTATGGGTTTTTTCTTCTCTACCCCTTCGATATCAATATAAAACTTCAGTTAAGTTAACTGGTTAAATGTGTCAATATCTGCTAACTCACTCATGTCTTCTCTCTCTCCACACTCACTTCCTCACTTCGTTAATTTACATATGTTTAATACGGCCCGTCAAAAATGTGTAAATTTTCTTTTCATTTTTTGTTTGGAAGTAAAGTCTGATGATCCGCAGTCCTTTTAAAAGGGCTGTGGTGAAATAATTTCTTACATGGAACTTTAAAGTAGTCTGTCTTTATTTAAATTATTTGCTCTGCATTT